AAAAAAAAAGTGTGGTCTACTATGAGGCATTGCACAATAAAGACTCTTTCTTCTGAAACCTTTTCATGATATGAGAAGCCTCTCTGAAAGACAAAGGCACTTGCGACTAACAGCGTAACCATGGCTACTCAACTTTCTAGATGTTAAATAGCTTCTAGCTGAGGACAAGCGTGGAACACCAGAGACGTACCCAGAGAAAGAGAGAAGAGGGCCAAGAAGGTGTATTCACTGATGGGGAGGCATCGTCCCAGTGTTTCCTTGGGGTTGCCTGAGCCACACTCTTCAAAAACATCTCGGGAGCATCGCTTGGTATCCATTCATTTATTCATTAAATAAAAATCTTTGTCTTGTGCCTGACAAGATAGCCTATCTCTTGGCACAGAGCAGATGTTCCATGAATGTTAGTTACGTTATTATCGCTATTGCTTCCAGAAGTGCAGCTGCTGCTACTACCACATATCATGTTAGACACTGTGCTGCATTCTGGGGACAGAGAGGGGCAAAACCTGTCCTCTGGCCTCAGGGAATTATAGTCTAGAAGAGGGGGCAGGGAGTCGAGCGGCAGGTCAGGACACAGCCTCACCAGTGCTGAGCCACGGTAGACCAGACTTCCATGGGAGTCCAGAGAAGACTGGTGGCCAGGGATGGGTGCTGCTTCTAGACAGAGTCATAACTAAGCGCGGTCTTGAGGAACAAATCGACGCTGGTCGGGGGAACTGTCAGAGTTTTAACTGCGAGCAACAGAAATAGACCGGAGCCGGAAACCGCAGAGCCGTCAGCTGGCCACACAGTCTCTAGGAAGGCCACAGAACCATTGGGAAAAACAGTGCCGAGGTGATATGAGGCTGTTGGTGCTGTGGCATTGGAGATGGCCCCGGGAAACTGCACGCTGCTGCCATCGCCCCCACCACGGCCAGGAGGGAGTCTTCCCTGCCCCGCCTCTGGGTGGCATTGCTTCCAGAATCCACATCCCAGGTAGGTGCAAGCTGATGCACCAAGATTGGGCTCCCCGCCCACATCTTATGTGCCAGAGAAGTCTTTCTGACTTCTGTAAAAGAAGACAGGTGTTAAAGGTGCTATTTCCCAATAGGGTTTATAAGATGAGGAACGTCCTCACACATGGGAAGAAGGTTCAGAGGCTGGGGGTCAAAACGTGCTGAATGTTTTCTACAACTGGGTGAAAAGCAGGCAGGAAAGGGCACTGAGGCAGAGAAGCCAATATACGCAGAAGCCTAATCTGGGCTGAGGGACAGCACGGCGCTTTTGAAGGACTGAGAACTTCGGTGTGCCTGGAGCATGGGGTGGGAGAGGGAGATGTCCGATGCCAGAGCTGGAAAGGCACACAGAATCTAGATCAAGGGAAAGCCTGTTATGTTTTATGCCTGCTAAGGAGTTTGGTCTTTACTCTGGGAATGAGGGTATGATAAGGTTCTAAGTTTGGGGGTAGAGGCCAGGGTAATAGAGGTGGGAAAGGGACCGGCAGGGAAGATCAGATTTTTGAAGTCTGAGCTATGTTGGGATGCCTGGGTGGCTCAGTCAGTTAAGCATCCATCTTCAGCTCGGGTCGTGACCTCCCGGTTCGTGAGTTTGAGCCCCTCATTGGGCTCTGTGCTGACAGCTCGGAGCGTGGAGACAGCTTCCAATTCTGTGCCTCCCTCTCTCTCTGTCTCTCAAAAATAAATAAACATTAAAAAAAAATTGAAGTCTGAGCTATGTACTTGAGGGTCTTGCCAGAGAGTCTCTTCTTTATAGTGTTAGACCGGGGATATTTATTTAGCTTTTACGGTCATTTTGCAAACCAGTCTTCCATTCTGTCTTTCTATCATAGGGTATATCCACCTTTCCCAGATTGCATCTATCACAGAGATTTTTCCTGGGCTGTAAATCCCTTTTACATTTGAGGGAAGCATAGATACAGGCAGGAAGAAACTGACCAGGGTTGCAAGGAATTAATTTGTTTAGATCCTGCCCAGTTAAACTTGGCTACAGCTAATTTTCTCAATGGTATAAACACCATGGAGGCGAATCACGAGAAACAGACATCCTTCAGATCTATGCTGCCAGCTTCAGAGTCTCTAACCTCCTCTCTCTGCCCCTCCCCCCTTGCATGTGTGCACACTCTCTCTCTCTCTCTCTCAAAAATAAATAAACATTAAAAAAAATAAACAGTAATTCAAACTTAGTGCAACATGCTTTCCAGTTCACCACCTGTTCCCTGCATTCCCCATCATGCCTGCCCACAGAACCAATGGCAGCAATCTTTGCAAAATGATACCTTTTCAACAAGCCCTCCTCCCCACTCCCCCACTCCCCTTCCTCGCCCCTTCCCCCGCAGCAGGTCCTTTACCACTGAGGACGGTCCTATTCATTGATGTCTGGAAATCCTTGGTAGAGTAGATGTGATAGGATCACAGTAGCTGAGGGTGATTCTTTCTTTTTTTTAATTTTTTTAGTGTTTATTTTTGAGAGAGAGAGAGAGACGGAGCATGAATGGAGGAGGGGCAGAGAGAGGGAGACACAGAATCTGAAGTAGGATCCAGGCTCTGAGCTGTCAGCACAGAGCCCGACACAGGGCTCGAACCCACGAACAGTGAGATCATGACCTGAGCCGAAGTCGGACACTCAACCGACTGAGCCACCCAGGCTCCCTGAGGGTGATTCTTACATAGTCCTTCACAGCAAAGGATGCCAGGGATACAAGTGATTTTTGGGTCTAGAAAACTCAGTGATTCATTAGTGTGGTCTCACAAAAGCTTACAGTGCACACATGCTTTGAGTAACATGGCTCAATCTTTCTGTATGATGGAGGGTTTGTGAATTTTAAAAATTTTTTAAAAATTAAACCAGGGTTATGTAAGAGTGGGAAGACTTTTCCCTGGATGAATGTCTTCAGCTCTAATTGAATTATCTGGCTAACTAAGGAAACTAGCTAAGATTTCAAAATGTCAAAATCACTGCTCCCATCATTGTGGGTAAAATGGGACTTAAGGGAATTTCAGTCCCACTATCTGAAAAAAGTTGCAATGACCTTGAGAGAAACATGTCTGATGGCATATTGAATCAGCTTGCATTCAGTATTGTGGATACAGGCACAGCCACATGAAAGCTGGGTTTTTTGTTGTTGTTCTATTAGAGTAAAAGGCATCCCCTCCTCTGGAATATTCTGGCGGCATTTTGGGGCAATTCAGAGACCACGTCATATATGCATTCTTTTTCACATTATGCAGTTAAAAAAATTATTTTTTCTGTATACTTTACATTGAATACTTCAGGAAAGAAAATAAATACAGTGATTTTAAAAGACAGTCCCCAGACTCAATAGATATTCTTCATAATTACTCCCAATCAATATTTAGAAACACATAACACGAAGTCAATTAATAAATAAAAATAAGTAAAATAACCATGTAAATAAAAATCTCAGAGGTGGGGAACATACACTATCAGTGAAGTCATTTTGCCACTTTGTTTTTGTTTTTTTTTTTTCAACACTGTCTGCATGTGTTTTAATCACATATCCATCCATCTCAAGAGTTAAATTAGACTGTGGGTGCCCTCATTTAAAACTGAGTCTTGGGGCACCTGGGTGGCTCAGTTGGTTAAGCAGTTAAACATCCGAACCTTGATTCCTGCTCAGGTCATGAGCTCATACTTGTGAGAATGCGCCTCATTTTGGCCTCTGCACTGAGCATGGAGTCTGCTTAAGATTCTCCTCCATTTGTACCACCTTGTCTATAATAAATAAAAAAATTACAATTAAAATTTAAAAATATGGGAATGAAAGCTGGTGCAGCCACTCTGGAAAACAGTATGGAGGTTCCTCAAAAAATTAAAAATAGAACTACCCTACGACCCAGCAATTCACTACTAGGCATTTATCCAAGGGATACAGGTGTGCTGTTTCGAAGGGACACATGCACCCCCATGTTTATAGCAGCACTATCAACAATAGCCAAAGTATGGAAGGAGCTCAAGTGTCCATCAATGGATGAATGGATACAGAAGATGTGGTATATATA